AACAATAATTATTATTACATAAATGTTATAAAAAATCATTTTAAGATTTACCCTAGTAAATAGTTTGACAAAATACAATAGTTACTACAGTCACATTACTCCAATTTACTATAATATTGCATTAAATATTAAATTATCACTAAAATAAATTATATATTTTATTTGTTATTTTTTTATATTAATTTTGCATGAAATATTACATTATTATTATTATTATTATAAATATAAAAAAGTTAAAAATTTACTTTGATAAAATACAATATTTACTACATTCAGTGTGACGCCAGTAAAAACAAACCATATTTTTATATTTTCAGAAGAAAGTGTGAGTGTTTGCTCATGCAAAAATCACCGCCACTATTAGTTTCTGTAATATTCTGGTCTTTACACGTTTTTTTTTTCACTTGATTTCTCATCCACCAGGTGTAAATCCTTAGTCCACACACACACACACTCTCACACTTAACACCATGATTATAATGCGATTATAATACTTTTATATATATACTTTTTGATTCAAAGGTTGCACAATAATTGAAACTACCATATAAGACATTTCTGTATTTATCCTGTATGACAAAGCTGCCTGTTTTCAAACTGTTATTAACAGAAATTGGAAGCACTGATAGATTAAATTAATTAGACCTAACCATGATGCATTTTGTGATTTGTGTCAAGAACTTTATATTCTTTAATAAAACTATAGTTATGATCTTTACGTCTTGATTTTATGTGTTACTTAGCTTTTTAATTTAGATTAGAGTTAGATGATTTTAGTGATCCAACATTTTACATATTTTTAAGGCATCCAATGGCTCCCTGGTTGATGTGCTAGCAAACTCATTTAGCAGTTAATAATACGTGTGTTCACTTGTAATGTTCTCCTATAGACTACTAGTTGAATTATTGTGCTTTGTTGTCATTTGAAAGCTCAATAACCAGGATCCTCTTGCTCTGTCTTTATACTGAAAAGAGTGGGACAGTCATAAAGGTTTGGAATCACGTGAAGAGAAAGTGATTTCGGAATTTTCATTATTTGGATAATTATTCCTTTAATCAGCCAAACTGATGGTTATTAGCTAATGCCAATTATCTCTATACAGTTAAATATAACTAACTATAACTCTAACACTCTCTATTCTAACTCTATCTCATCTATTTGTTTTCTTTTTTAATTTATAAAGAAAAAAACACTTGACCCTCTAACACTTGCACTCTATTCTATTTCTATCCTAACTGCTTGTTTTCTTTTTATTTATTATAAAAAAAGACCCTCTAACACTAGCGTTCCCTTTTCTTTTTTTTCCAATTCTATCTAATTGTTTTCTTTTTATTTATTATATATAAAAAAAAAAAAAAAGTACTGCGACAGGTTAACTGTGACACTTACATATTATTTGCTCTTTTGTTGATTTTGATTGCTCATTTTTAAGTCCTTTTGGCTAAAAGCATCTGCTAAATGAATGAATGTAATGTAATGTAAATACTGTTTTATTAATATGTTTGGCCAATAAATCTATGTATCTCTGGTGAAACCATGATTAGATATCAACCAGTGACCTGCTAACAGGCTATTGCGTGCCTACAGCTTATCCATGATAGGAAGATGTCTGTATGGGATTCACCTGGATGAGCGCGATCAGAGGCGAGATGACCAGAGTGATGCCACTGGCCAGAAGAGCAGGCAGCTGATAGCACAGAGACTTCCCCGCTCCAGTGGGCATGAGGACAAACACATCCCTGTCACCTGTGAGCACACGAACACACACACACACACACACACACACACACACACACACACACACAGCACACACACACTCTCTCACACACACACAAACAACACACACACTCACACACTGCTTTCTCACCCATGCATCCATCTCCGTCGGGGCGGCGCGTCATGCCGGGAGGACAGATGCACATGAAGGTGCCGATCTGGTTTTTGCAGGCCATTCCTCTGGAGGCGCAGTCGTCCAGCCCCTCCGCGCCCTCGTCCTGGTCTGCAGAGAGAGATAGAGAGAGGAGTAACGATTATCACCTGCACTCGCGCGCGTGTGTGTATAATGATGATGTGGATCGTCATACGTGTGCGTGTGTGTTGATGTGGATCAGTCATACTGGCCTCGGCACATCCGGTTGTCGTCACGCAGCACGTATCCCGTCGGACACATGCACTCGTACGAGCCGAAGGTGTTGACGCAGCGGAAAGCACAGAGCAGCGGGTTCACCGCACACTCGTTGATGTCTGGACACACCAAATAAAGAGGAAACCATGACTTTATCACTTAATTATTAATTTATCATGTCAACTCTATATCGACAAAATCACCTTAAAACAAAGATAATTTACTTATGAAGCATAAGATATAAAGACTTAATAGCATATAGTTATATGTCTGTAAAAATGTTTGATTGTCATTTTATAGATAGATTATTTTCACTTTACATTACATACATTATATAAAGTATTAAATGTTACATCATAATTTATTATATAATTTAATATGTAATAATATATATAATTTATGATAGACTTTCAAAATTTTGCATTAGAACTACTTTATACTACTAAATCATACTTTTCCAGTATAAACATCTAAACATCCTTAAAGCAAAATTAATTTACTTAAGAAGTGTAATTGTGTAATATATCAATAGTTTATTAAGATGCATATTTAAAAAAATGCACACAAAAAAACGAAATTATGTATATTTTCTAAATTATGCTTCTTAGGTAAATTAATCTGGTATTATATATATATATGACTAAAGTTATAAAATTTTGAACAATTTATTAATTATATAAAACACTTTTTATTAAATTTGTAAACATTTTTATAAAATTAATCAATATTTTTTTATTAAACTAAACAGTCATTAAAATCACTAAAGTTATACAATTTGGAACAATTTATTAATTATATAAAACACTTTATTAAATTATTAATTTTTTTGTAAATTCAAAAATCTAAATTAAAATTACTAGTATTTTTATGAAATTTAGAACATTTATTAATTATGAAACAAATTAGAACTAAATTAATAAATTATTATAAATAAATTAATATAAAATCCACATATATATTTCTTATATTATTATTCTTATAAATATATTTCTTATAAAATGTATAAAACATTATATAAAATTATTCTATATTATATAAAACATCTTAAAATTATTCAATAGTTTTATTAAATTTATTAAATTAAAATAGCTGAATTTTATTGTAAAATTGTGAACAGTTTATTCATTAAATAAAACACTTTTTATTAAATGATTAAAATATGATATATGTATGCCTGTAAAAATGTCATTTTTTTAATGATTGTGGAATACAGTGCAGCTTATCTCCTGAGCGTACCTTCACAGGTCATCATGGGTCCGGGTTCGAAGCCGTCCTGACAGGAACATTCAAACCCACCAGGAACGTTTGAGCACGTCCCATTTCCACAGGGGTTTCCGATCGAGCACTCGTCCGTATCTGTAACCATCAGACCGTTAATAACCCACCTCTCTAACTCGTTTATCATTGGCTTGATACTTTTAGTTTCTGATGCTGTAACCCGAGGGATCTGAACCCACAACCGTCCCGCAGTCATCGAGAAGAGCCAGAATAGGGTGAAGTGAGATTAACTGGGAGTTGAGAAATCGTCTCAGTTACCCTGATCTGGAGTAGGTTTAGTGTGAACTCACCCACGCAGTTGACGCCGGTGAAGTCGAGGTTGTATCCGAAGGGACACTCGCAGCGGAACGAGCCGTCCGTGTTGATGCACAAGCCGTTTCCGCAGATGCCCGGGTTCTCCACGCACTCGTTCATGTCTGTGGAGGCCGACGGGACGTTAGTACCGGGGATTGTGGGAAGGTGAAGTGCTTTAGTCAACAGAATTTAACTGGTTTTCTCACCCTCTCGTCCTTCGGGTCTCAGGATGGCCTCGTGACCGTAGGGACACAACGTGAGAAACGCAGCTGCGGGAGAAAACACGGAGACAAGAAGGGTGTGATTATTAAAGTAAAGTTAGCTTGACATGCTAAAATATGTGAGCCTGGAGCACAAAAGCAGTCTTAAGTCGCTGGGGTATATTTGTAGCAATAGTTCAAATAGTTGCATCTCAGCCAAATATTCCTATCATAACAAACCATACATCAATGGAAAGATTATTTATTCATGATCTATAAATCTCAATTTTGAAAAATTGACACTTAAGACAATCTAAATGATATAAAACAATTTTATTAAATTATTAAATATTTATTAAAATATATTATGAAAAATAAAATAAAAGTAATAAAAGATAGAAAGGATTTATTAATTAAATAATTTTTTTTAATTAAATTATTCAACTTTCTGTTAAATGAAATAATCAAAATTAATGTTATTACTTTGTTCTAAAATTTTGAACGATTTAAATTTAAATTATTATTCAACTTTAAATTAAATGGTCAAAATTACCAAATAACTATTTATTTTTTATAAAACTTATAACGATTTATTTTATAAAAAAAACAATTACTAAATTAACTTTTTTGCTCCATGAAATGATCAACATTAAAATGACTAAAATTTATATTAAATTTTAAGTCTTTTAGTAAGTAGACTTTTTTATGAAATTAATATTTATTGTTGCATATGAGAACTATTTATTAATTATACGAAAACAACTGTATTAAAGTATTAAGGTTTTTTCATTAAATGATTAAAACGACTAAAATGTATTAAAATTAGAATGATTTAATAATTATATAAAACATTATACAATTATGTAATTTAGTTACATTTTCATGAAACTATTGTTTTTTTGTTAAATGAAATGATCAAATAATATTACAAATTTTTATCAAATGTAGAACTATTTATTAATATACGAAACAACTGTATTAAAGTATTAAAGCTTTTTTGTTAAATTAAATTATTAAAATTACAAAAAATAATTTGTAAAAATTAGAGTGATTTATTAATTATTTTTATTAAACTATTTAATTGTTTTGTTAAATTAAATTAGAAATTAATATGACAACAAACCTATTTATGTAACTATGTATCTTTATTCAATTAAATCAAAAATACTAAATTTTTCTTACAAAATGTATAATGTTTATCTATATATCTTAAAAAAAAAATTTACATTAAAAAACATCTGCATACATCTTAGAAGTGCAAATATGTGACCCTGGACCATAAAACTAGTCATAATTTTGAATTAAAAAAAAAAAAATCAAAATATTGAGAAAATCATCTTTAAAGTTGTCCAAATGAAGTTCTTAGCAATGCATATTACTAATCAAAAATTAAGTTTTGATATATTTACGGTAGGAAATTTACAAAATATCTTCATGGAACATGATCTTTACTTAATATCCTAATGATTTTTGGCATAAAAGAAAAATCAATAATTTTGACCCATACAATGTATTGTTGGCTATTGCTACAAATATACCCCAGTGACATAAGACTGCTTTTGTGCTCCAGGGTCACATATGTGTTCAGACCCTTAAATAGATAGTTTATGTATACTTTCTATAATACTAGCTTATATTTTGTATTATATTTGTTCCCATTAAAATGTATTATAATGAGAAAATGACTGCTAATCATCCGTGGTGCTGTGTATTCATTAGTGACTGACCCTCGGTCTCGCGCGGACACAGTTCGCAGGGGTCGCCCCATCCCTCGCCCGGCAGCAGGCTGCAGCAGCACTTGGCTTTGGTGGTGTTGAGCGGTTTGGGGACGGAGCATTTGCCCGCTTCAAACCGCGTGAAACAGAAGCTCTCGCGCGTGTCTGACCACAAAAACACACATTCATGTGAGGAAAGTACACTCAAGCATACTGCACTTCACTGAATGCCCCAATATTACATATGAAACATGATGAATGCTTAATATTGTATTTCTACTACTTTACATACATACAATAATAGTTATAAAGCGGAGAGTTCCGGTGCTTGATTCTGATTGGCTGAGCCGCGTTCGAAGCTGTTGTAAATTACTCTACAAAGTAACATACACCTTTGTTTACTTCTGCGTGTTGCTCTGCAGCCACTTTGTAGCAACCACAACTGTTTCTGAGGAGCTACATTGTTTGGTGGAAGAATACTGTTTTTATTAATATCATTACACTTTATTTGTGCATAACAACGCCCCTTAGCTGTTATAAATTCACTGTAAACCACAGCTTCTTGGGGCTTATTGCTTGATTATAAAAGACAACATTGTATAAAAAAGTATAAAATCACTTATATAAAATGTATAATAAATTTATGTCTTAAAAATGTTTTATGTAACATAAATTCATGCTAAATACAGCTAATGAAACAGCCTATATGATCTAATGCAATTGCAAAATATCAGTATTTAGACTAAATATGAATAATTATTTCATTTATACATTTACATGAAGTACAACTAATAAATCATTTACTTTATGTATTGACATATTATATAAAACATACAAAATATATGAAAGATTAGTACTCCGTAATAAATAAAATATATTTAAAATATGCATACATAGTTTGACATATTAAAATCTTAATGATATAAAACACTATTATTCAGTTTTTCATTCAATTAAATGATCAAAATAATAAATAATTAAATGTAATTACATAAAACACTTTATTAAATTATTAAATGTTTCAACAAATTAAAATTACTAGTTTTTAAAAAATATTATTAATTATTAACAATAATAAAAACAAGTTACTAATTATAAAAAAACAATTATTATTATTAAATAATTATATTTTTGTTTAATTAAACTGAAAATTAAAATGACTAAAAATCTTATGCAATTTAGAAGAGTTTATTAATTACATGAGACCATTGTTATTACATTATTAAATTAACTGATACAAAATTAAAATGACAAAGTTACATTCATTTTAAATGATTTATTAATTAAAGTAAAGTTTATTAAGTTTTATTCATTAAGTTTATTAATTTAGTTCAATAAAAAAATCATGCTAAATATATCTATAAAAATTTCGTCTAATTCAACTGCGAAATGGAAATATTTAAACAAATGGATAATTATGAACATTTATATTTTATTCAGAAATTTACACTAAGTACAACTAATTAAACACGACTATTAAAATAACATAAGTTATAAATGGCAAACATAAAAACAGAATTTAGAGTGATTTATATGAAACAGATTTTATTGAATTATTAAATGGTTTGTTGAATTTAAATGATAATTTTTGCATAAAAGTTAGGACAATTTATTAATTTTAAAATTTTTCAAAAAATGTTGTATGATAACAAAATATCAATATTTAAACAAATTATTTTTTTTTCTTTAATAAATATGCACAACTACACTAGAATGATTCATTACACGGATTCATGCAATAAAAGTCTGCACAGATCTGCTTCATAAGGTGGTTCACTTAAAATGATGAATCGAATAAGAGTAGTTACCGAAGCAGCGGCGGCCGTTGTCGGACAGAACGAAGCCAGGCTGACAGATGCACTGGAAGCTGCCCGCCGTGTTTTTACACGAGCCGAACTGACAGATGCTGGGCTCCACGCTGCACTCGTTGATATCTGTGCGGGACAAACAGGTCAAGTGGAAGTACTCTACCGCTCAAACGTTTGGGATCAGAACCATTTGTAATGTTTCACAGGAGTCTCTTCTGCTCATCAAGGCTGCATTTATTTGATCAAAAATACAGGAAAAATGTGAAATATTATTACCACGTAAAATAAAGCTTTTCTATTTTAATATACATTAAAATCGAATTTATTCCTGTGATGCAGCGCTGAATTACTCCAGTCTTCAGTGTCACATGATCTTCAGAAATCATTCTAATATGCTGAGTTATTATAGAAGTTTGCTAAGTTTGGAACCTGTGATACTTTTTTCAGCATTCTTTGATGAACAGAATGTTAAAAAGAACAGCATTTATTTAAAATAGAAATCTTCTCTAACAATAAAGTTTGAGATCAGTACATTTTTATTCTCTTTTTTTTAAAGAAATGAACACTTATTCAGCGAGGATGTGTTAAATTGATAAGTGACAGAATTGTTAGAAAAGATTTATATTTTGAGTAAACGCTGTTCTTTTTTAACTTTTTATTTATCAAAGAATCCTGAAAAAACTATCGCAGTTTCCAAAAGCATATTTGGCAGCACAACTGTTGATAATTCTAATAATAAATCAGCATATTAGAATGATTTCTGAAGATCATGTGACACTGAAGACTGGAGTAATGATGCTGGAAATTCAGCTTTGCATCACAGAAATAAATTATATTTTAAAGGATATTAAAATAGAAAGCATTATTTTATATTGTAATAACATTTTGCAAGATTACCGTTTTTTTCTGTATTTTTGATCAAATAAATGCAGCCTTGATGAGCAGAAGAGACTTCTTTAAAAAACATGAGGAGTCTCACTGATCCCACACAGTTTTGAGCGGCCATGTGTGAAGAGGTTCCTGCACTGAACTCTTACCCACACACTTGTCGTTCTGCACCTCGTATCCGAGCGGACAGATGCAGCGGAACGAGCCGTCCAGGTTCTGACAGGTCCCCGGCTGACAGGCTCCCGGCAGCGTCACGCACTCGTTAATATCTGACACACACATAACTCACATTATACTGTCTACAGCACATCACACAACACTCATGCACGCAATACATGCTACTAGACTACAGCTAAGATAGCAATTTGAAACAGCTGTTTAAATGATTCAAAACGCCAGCTTTGATAACAGGATGATATGTTTTTAATTATATAAAAAAGTCTAAGCAGTGTTTGGCACACACATTTGTGACCCTGGAGCACAAAACCAGTCTTAAGTGGTTCTAAATCATCTGAAAGCTGAATAAATAAGCTTTCCATTGATGTATGGTTTGTTAGGATCGGACAATATTTGGCTGAGATACAACTATTTGAAAATCTGGAATCTGAGGGTGCAAAAAAATCCAGGGCCACATTTAACTACAATAGTGGTTAACTTAATATTTATACATTATATAAAATATATCCGAAACACAAAATATATAATAAAATATATATCTTATATAAAATATAAAACACATAATAAAATATAATAGATATAAAATCTGTATGCATTATATTTATACATTCTATAAAATATATGAAAAACTATTCATATAAAATCTATTAAATATAAAATATGTATACATTTCATTTGTAAAAAATTTTGATGTAAAACATAAAT